CGCCGACTTGCGACAGGAGTAGCCCGCGCGCCTGGGAAGCCGCGGAGGAGCCCCTCGGCCCGGCACGCCAAGGTGACCCCCTCGACCCGCCCCCGCCCCCAGCCTCGCGTGCGTCCGTGTCCGATGCGCGTGCCCGGCGCGGAGGGAGCGCGGCAGTGCGTGGGCATCCGTCTGTGTGTCCGTCTGCCTCTGCGCTCCCATCGCACACACCCGCCTTTTGTGGCCCTCCCTGGCTGCACCGTGCGCGCGGGGGCGTCGGGGACCCCCTCTTTGTTCTGGTCGGTGCTGGAGGGTGTGCACGCGCGAGGGATGAGTTTGGGGGGCGGCACTTGGCGGCTGCTTAAATATTCCATCGAGGATGTTGGCCCGGCCGGGCGGCCGCCGCGTGGTGGGGTCTGCAGGTGCCCGGAGGTGAAGCAGTTGTGCGTTCAGCATGCGAGAGGGGATTCGCACGTGTGCACCCCGCGCCGCCGCGAGTCCGCGTGTGCCTGCCTCGCCCACCCTCGTGTTTGGAGTCCCGCCCGGGACCAAACGGCGTTTTTGTGGCGGGGTTTAATCCACCGAGACTTTGGCTTTTGTTTTATTTCGCCGCGGTGTGTAATTCTCGGGGCTTGTGGCATTTGAGACTTGGTATCTGAGTCGGGGCTGGCTCTCTGTGTGCGTGTGTGCGCGCGCGCGCGCGTGTGTGTGTGTGTTTCTGCATGATGTTGGGTTGTCGCTCTGCTGTGCCTAAACATTAAAAAGCCTGTCTTTTCGTTGAAGAGGACAGGGGTTAAAATGAATGAAGACCTGAAGGTCAATGTAAGCGGGCTGCCTCGGGAGTATTTAGATGCCGCTGCTGCGGAGAACATCTCAGCCGCTGCCTCCTCCAAGGCTCCTGTTGCGGAGCCGGAGCCTGAGCTCGTAGTGAACCCCTGGGACATTGTCCTGTGCACCTCGGGCACCCTCATCTCCTGTGAAAATGCTGTTGTGGTCCTTATCATCTTCCACAACCCCAGCCTGCGAGCACCCATGTTCCTGCTGATAGGCAGCCTGGCGCTTGCAGACCTGCTGGCCGGCGTCGGACTCATCATCAATTTTGTTTTTGCCTATTTGCTTCAGTCGGAAGCTACCAAGCTGGTCACCATCGGACTCATTGTCGCCTCTTTCTCCGCCTCTGTCTGCAGCTTGCTGGCTATCACTGTGGACCGCTACCTCTCGCTCTATTACGCTCTGACTTACCATTCGGAGAGGACGGTCACCTTTACCTATGTCATGCTGGTCATGCTCTGGGGGACCTCCATCTGCCTGGGGCTGCTGCCAGTCCTGGGGTGGAACTGCCTGCGGGACGAGTCCACGTGCAGCGTGGTCAGACCCCTGACCAAGAACAACGCGGCCATCCTCTCCGTCTCTTTCCTCTTCATGTTTGCACTAATGCTCCAGCTCTACATTCAGATCTGTAAGATCGTGATGAGGCATGCCCATCAGATAGCCCTGCAGCACCACTTCCTGGCCACGTCGCACTATGTGACCACCCGGAAAGGGGTCTCAACCCTAGCTCTCATCATGGGGACCTTTGCTGCTTGCTGGATGCCTTTCACACTCTATTCCTTGATAGCAGATTACACCTACCCCTCCATCTACACCTACGCCACCCTCCTGCCCGCCACCTACAACTCCATCATCAACCCTGTCATCTATGCTTTCAGAAACCAAGAGATCCAGAAGGCCCTCTGCCTCGTTTGTTGTGGCTGTGTCCCTCCCAGTCTGTCCCAGCGAGCACGGTCACCCAGTGATGTGTAGCAGCCTTCCGCCTAAGAGGACGCTGCCTGTGACGAGCACTTCCACTGCCGCCAGACGGTTGACCTGCTTCCTTTCAATTCTTTGCGTCGGATTCCCTCTCAGGCTACCAGAGCACTGAACACTGAAACAGTGACATCATTCAGATGAGTTAAGTGATTAAAGCGAAAATAATGTCATCAGTGTTGTTACCCTTTAAAAAAATTGTTGGCCTCTCTGTTCAACATTATTTTGTTTTATTCGGGTGTGGTTTCTTATTTTGTTTGGGGCTCGGTGGAAAGGAAAGAATATGACCTGGCCATGATGTTATAAAGTTTAAGTAAACAAGTTTCAGAGTTTTTACCTGGACTTTCAAATAAATCTGAGTTATTAAGGAACATGGAGAAGGAATTACTTTTCTCAGGCTTTAAAAAAAAAAAATCAAGGTAGATTCTCAGTGCTGCATGGATCTGACAGAGTATGATCTCTTTCAAGCCAACAAAACTAGTTTACATAATTATGTGTGGAAAGAACCTGCTTTTATTAGCATGTATTCAGTAATAAGTTACTGTCGCTGAAACTGTGAACTCATTCGGATTTATTCTTTTTGCTTTCAGCAATTACTGTTCATAAGAATTACCTTCTCGCTTCTGTAAATGTTCCAGCTCCTTCTGCACAGTTGCCTATGTTAGCTAGACCACTAGTTTCAAATGGTGCCATGTAAATCCAGAACTAAAGTTGTCCTTTGTCACTACAGGTTTTCAGTATGTCCTTTCTAAAAGGAATCATGAAATAGGTTTTGATTTACATATGAAGCAGGATTGATTAGATCCACCATTGTAGTTTCCTAAGCTACAGTCTGATTGTTTTGAGGAACAAACGAAAATAAAAATATCTAGTCAAAGTAGATTAAATTTATTTTAATATATTCTGAAAATTAATATGACACCATCATGGATTATGCAAACATCACATTTTCTATCTCTAAGAATATACTAACAGTTATTCTTGAGTGAGACAGATAGAATTAAATATTAAAATCAAAATTTTCTGGTTCATATCATCTCTACTGTAGCATGCATTTGAAATGGGTGGTCTCCTGTCTTAACAATTAAGTTTGTGAGTATACAACACACATATCTGCGGTGTTTATCAGCTGTATCCTACAAGTTCATGAGCAGAGTAACCATGTGGCTAGTCGTGAAAAGTTATGTTTGAACTCCTTCTCACTAAAGAACAAAAAACCTTAAATGCAATAAAAACTGTATTGCCTGCTTACAGAGAGCAAAGATTTAGTTGGGTGTTACACAGAACTGACTTTAAACATACTGTAAAGTGATCGTGTCCAAGTGTCACTTCTCTTAGTGCAGACAGACATAGATACTGATACAGTGAATTTATAGCTGTGTCTCTACAATCAGTGGAACAATTTCTGGACAGTGTATCCACTTCACATGGCAGCAAAACAAGGTTCTCAGGGTTCTTAGGGGGAATTGTTGGTAATAAGGTAACCTCATCGGTTTATTCTAGATCTCACCCCCACCTTGGTCACTGGCCGTCTGATAACCTGTGTGCTGATGCCATCTCGCCAAAGCTTCTTCTAATGTAGCTCTCACGTGACTAAATCCTCTACTTGAATCTTTCTCTTCCTTGAGGTCATTTATGGAAGCAAGATAAGGACTGCAATATTTAAGAAGTGGGAAAGAATTTTCAAAGCATATCACTATATGATAAGCCTAATCCAGTTGATGTCTTGCCTTTAAATTGTTTGAACATTGGATGGACTTGGCCAATTGAATGTGAGTCTGTTTTTAATCACTAAAATTTAATAGCACCTCTCTGTGGGAGAATTGACAAAGGGAAGAGAAATATCTTTAATGAGGGTTTAAAGCAATAAATGATGCTTCTGTAGAAATGATGGTCCCCCTTTCATATCTCAGTAGTAAGAATTATAAGGATAACTACTCATATGATTTTTAGCAATACGTATGCTAATTTTTTGCTGTAGTCACAAAACAGCTCTTCTGCAGGTGAGAAAACTAAGACTGGTAGGAGAGGCGAAGAAATGTCCCAAAGCCACAGAGCAAAGCAGATTTTGCAGCCAGGTTTTCTGAAGTTTAAATCTTGCTTTCTGCCTGCAGAATGCTGTCTTTCATCCCTCGCAGAATAAGAGAGGGGAGGAAAAACAGCTTTCTCACATGTAACTGTCACGAACTTCGGGTTCTGTAATGAAGACACAAAGCTTCCTGTTTAAAATTACATGTGGAGTGACGATGCGGCTGTGGGTGAAGGGTGTTTGTTTGTATCTCACTTCGTACACAAGCAGCTCAGCGCTTGCTTTGATCTCATGGTTTGAAAATACCCGATTTCAGCTGACAGATTTTTTTCAGTTTGACTACAACATGACCTTATTATTTTAAATCATGAGGATGTGTGGATGTTTGGGCGGTTTCCTAGAAGGCTTTGTTTCTATAACATTATTGCAAAATGTGCACCCATCTCTCTGTATGTGTATGTTTTTGTGTGCATGTGTATACGCATACATATAGCCGATAACTTTAACTTTGTAACAGGACCAAATGTACCATGGAAAACAGTCATAGTTCTAGAAGCTGTGAGGTAGTAAATTTATTTATTTATTTATTTATTTAGTACTGGGAATTGATTTCAGGGCCTTTGTACTGAGCTACATCCCTAGCTCTTTTTTTTTTTTTTTTTTTTTTTTTTTTTTTAATTTGTTTCTTTTGAGATGGCATCTCACTAATTTGCTAAATTGCCCAGGCCAGGCTCAAACTTACAGTCTTCCTGCCTCAGCCTCCCAGGATCTGGAATTGTAGGCGTGTGCCACCACCACACTTGGCTGGCAGGTAACCTTTTATTCCATGAAATTACAATTTCTGATTACCACCGAGTTTATGTTATTTTTCCATAGAAGCAGTTGTCTTTGTAACTAAGACAGTTTAGTTATCTTACTAGAAGCCTTAGTTGAAGGTCAATACCCAAGTTGTGGCTGTCCAGTGTCTGGTTTCCTTTTATTCTTTTAACTGTTTCTGTGGATCAGTCAAGTTTTGTTTGTTTGTTTGGGACTGAACCCAGAGGTCTTGTGCATGCTAGGCAAACGCTCTACCACGGAGCTGTTTGCTCAGCTTACGTTTATTTCTTGAGGGTAAAGAGGACCAGCTTCCTTCCTGGTACCTCGAGTGGAATGAGAAGGCAGAGCTCCTTCTTCAGTGATGTGCTGAATTAAGGACCCCAGCAGAGAAGGGCAGAAGCAAAATTCTTCCACTGATGGGGCATAGTGTGAAATAGTCTATCATGCCCCGTGGACTGAAACAGGATTAAAATAAGAAGTCCAAGAAAGATAAGGAACAGAGATACTTAGTGCCAATAAAAATACCTTGGAGATTTTCTTAAACTTTTTTTAAAAGAAGAAATAACTTAGTCCATTATTAAAATAATGATTGCCTTTATTTCATGGTCATACATTTGTCCTATGAAGTTAGGATTAAGATTTTCTACTTCAGATTTAAAATACATACTAAATAAGTGACTACTGTGGTATTATTTTGAACAATATTTAAGTTTACACTTTGATTGTGTGCCCATTATAATAAATGAACAGATTGCTTTCTTGTCCCTTTTAAAAATGTTATTGATTATTGGATGGTTTTAATATCTAGTTTGAAGCTTTCACTCCAGTTCAAACTTCAAGAATCATTGCATTAATAGTTTTATACATCATAGCTTTAATGAGCAGATATATTTTTTTCTAGCAAACACTGCAGAAAAAGATGATGGACATTTTGACTAGGGCTCCTATAATATTCAGTACTTAGAAAGGATATGAATTGCCTGGGAATCTTGTTAAAATGCAGATTCTGGATTAGTACCCTGGGCCTGGCTGGATGCTTCAAAGTTTCTGGGTGACACTGGAGACAATGGTCTGTAGACACTTTGAGTCCCGAGGGTAAGTGTCACATTTTCAGCATTCTTAAAATGTAAACATAATGTATACATGTTATATAAATAAACATATATTTAAAGTGTTGTTCTTGTCAGAGGTTAATAGAAAATCTGTCTGGGTTTTCTCGAGCGTTTCAGTATGTATCTATCAGAGATCTATAAATGTACTTTTTCCTTTGTTCCTGTTCTCACTTTTTAAATTCTTAATTGTCATTATTTTAAGAGAGTTCTTCTAGAAATTTCACAGATATGCAGTGTGTCTCTATACCCGTGGGATAAGTGCACCTCACCAGTGTTCGCCTCATTTGCTAAGAAGGACAGTTTTAAATTATAGTTACTCACGCACATCAGTTATACAAGGTAGGGGTTTCACTGTGATAGTTCCATATGCGCATGCGCTGTGTTTTGATGTCTCCGCCCTCCTTTCTCCCCTCTCTCCCCGCCTCCCCCGTGCCGCCCCTCCCCCAGTAGTCCTACCTTTGGACCATCTTTCTTGCTTGTTTCCATACCTAAGAGAAAACATGATATTTGTATTTCTGTGTCTGGCTTATTTAGCTTAACGTGCCTCCAGTTCCATCCATTTTGCTGCAAATGACATAATTTTGTTCTTTGTGGCCCATACTTCCTCCAGTCTATATTTATGCCATGTTGTCTTTGCCCATTCATTTGTTCCCAACATGAGTGGTTTGTGTTGGCGGGTGATGTGTCCCTGCGTGAACTCATCTTGAGATAGTTGAAATGAAAACCTCGGTTTTAGGGGGTTCTAAAATTGAACTCATCCCATACAGACTTTTTCTGGACATCAGAGAAAGTTTAAAAGACCTCACCTCATTCGATGTTTATTTGTAATGTTTTAATTTTTGGCATCAAAACTGCTACTAATGTTAACAGTGACCCTATTTATTACCATTACTGGGCTTCCTTTCTGCCCAAGAAGGTAAGAACATGTTTTTTCTAGTAGTAATCCCAGCTGCTCAGGGGGCTGAGGCAGAAAGATAACAAGTTTGAATCACTGTGGGTAACTTAGTGAGAACTTGTCTCAAAATAAAAACTATAAAGGACAGAGGCTGTAGTTCAGTGGTAGAGCACCCCCTGGGTTTCAACTTCATTTTTGCCCCCGCCAAAAGTATATTAGAGTACATAATTGAGGTGGATATTAACATATAATTTAAATAACTCCACTGTGTAAAATATTTGCAAAAGAAATCTAGGAAATTTTTCATCACAAAAATTCTGATACTAGCACCATGCATCAGTGAGCAAACTTTTTATTAGAAATAAATTTGGAGCAGAAATGAAAGCATGTATTTGGGCACAGATTCCCTTGATTCTGGACAAATTCAAGTAGCATAATTCAAAAAGTAAAAAAGCACCTTACGGACTTCTCTGTGAGGCTTACATTGAATTTCTCACCAAATAACACACTTTGAACTGATGGGATTTTTACTTAGGTTGCTGAAAGTACAAACTTTTCATGTAAAGAGGGTCAACAGCCCTTTCAAATGTGGGGTGGTTACTGGGAAAATTGGTTCTGATCCAACCACATCTGCACACCTTCTAGGATCCTGTATAGACTTGAATGATTGATAGAAGATTGTGGAATAGAATTTTTTTTTTTTTTTAAGGAAGGAAAGGTTTATTTAGCTCACAGTTTGTAGAGGTTTCAGTCTATACTTGGCTGGCACCAAGGCAGATGGAATAGAATTTTTTATACCAAATCTAAATGTAAGTCATTACCTTTAGTAACTGAAATTTTACTTTCCCTCAATATGTAGCAGTATTTTAATATTACTGATCTGTCCAATTACACTTTCATCCTTTAGTCTTGGCCAACCTTTGGACCATAACAACCCTCAAGTCCCTGTCAACATTTATATCTTGAAAATATTCACTACATATCTCTTGGTTACTTTTCTCTCATTGCTGGGACAAAACACCTGATGCCCAAAATTAAGGAAGGAAAGGTTTATTTAGCTCACAGTTTGTGGAGGTTTCAGTCTATACTGGGCTGGCTCCAAGGCAGAGTGGCACATGGCAGAGGGCAACAGTTCATGGTGGCGGAAGACAGCAAAAACAGCAAGAGCAAAAAAGGGAGGAGCAGAAAGCAAGCCTCTTTCCCTCCCCTACATTGTATGCAGACTGTCTGCCCCAGGGCGGGTTTAGCACTCACACTCATAATCCCAGCATTGGACCATGGATCAATCATAAACTCTAGAAGCCTGCCCCATGCATGAGGCTTTGCAGGGGAGGGGCAGCTGGACACAAACCATAATGACGTAGTATTGTTCTTTCCTTCAAACAAAATTATCC